TTTCTTAATGAGAACGGGGTGAGAGACAGTGTCAAAAGCCTTCCAGAAGTCCAGGAAGACTATGTCCACTGCTACCCCTGCATCTAATGATCTGGTGATCTGATCGTAAAAGGCCACCAGGTTGGTCTGACAGGACCTGCCACTGATGAACCCCTGTTGGTTGCCCCTAAGCATGCAGTCCCCTGCTGGCCCCTCCTGGATGTGTGCCAGAATAATTTTCTCGAACAGCTTGCCTAGGATCGAGGTAAGACTAACTGGCCTACAGTTTCCTGGGTCCTCCTTCCTCCCTTTTTTGAAGATGGGAACCACGTTGGCCCTCTTCCACTCCTCTGGTACCTCTCCAGAGCACCACGAGTGCTCGTAAAGCCGTGCCAGGGGACTTGCAATGACCTCAGCCAGTTCCTTTAGAACTCTAGGGTGGAGATCATCCGGACCGGCTGACTTGAAAATGTCCAGCCCCTCCAGAAGCTCCCTAACTAAATCCTTGCTAACCCTTGGCCCAAGAGTTCACAGCCTCAAGAAGAGTTCACAGCCTCTTTTTGGCACTGTGCCTCCTGAGTCCCTGCCGCAGTGGCAGGTGGAGCAATCTTCTTTTACCCCCTCAACCCTGCCTGGACTGCCGCCTGGTGTCTGCTTTAAGCTCAGCCCAGAGGCAGCTGCATTCCAGGGAGGGAAGGAAGCCGTTCTAAGGCAATATGTAGGAGGCACTGGCACCCTGCAGACTGGGAGATACAGGAGATGATTGGCAGGGGGAGAGGGGTGGAAGGGACTTTGTGTTACAGCTTGTGGGGGGAGGGACTTCCCCACAACATGGCCTTGTCCCTGGTGCGCAAACAATTCACTGGGGCTGACAGACGGAAGATTTGCTTATGGGCCACAACTGCACCTTATCAAGGAGCCAGGCCCTGGTGAGCTGAAGCTATCACTTGACAAATAAACACTTGCCCAGCTATGGCTCCACTTATTGCCCATGTCCTGATCCTATCTGCCTGCTGGCTAGTTACAGAAATACAGACATGCAGTGGCAGCCAAGGTTCAGAAGACAGAAAGAAGAGCCCTCTCAGCCCGAGGAGATACCACCCACGCGTGGGGCCAGCTGCCTGACCACACTGTCTCTGCTCCATAAGCAGGTCATGCTGCTAATGCAGAACGAGGAACCTCCAGCTGCCCCCACAGTCCATCCTGACCTGCAAATCCACTACAAGTGCCATCTCCCCAGAGCCCACCAGCGTTGGCTACGAGGACTTAGCTGCCTCTTACACTGAATGACATTTCTTCCAGATAGCCTTTGCCATGGACACTTCCTCTCAGATGTGGCAGCACAGTGGTGCCTACTGAGTCCTGCCATGTGGCTCAGTGACCCCCACTTGTTTCCCATGAGCACAGACCCCACCAGACCATGGCCACACTCACCAGGATGTCCATGCTTTCCCGGTGGAAGGGCGGCTGCTCCAACTGGTCGGGCACAGAAGTGAAGAGGACAGTGGAGCCAGCACCTGAGGACCGCAGGATGGGCAGGCTCAGGGATCTGAAGTCTTTCACAGCCTGCTCCACCTTGAGTTCATCTCCAGGTTTGGCTATGAGGGAAGCAAAGGTAGGGCCATCAGTGGCAGGGCGCCTGCACAGCACCCACCCACATGCTGGGACTAGCTGCCCATGCCCTCTGAGCACAGGCAGGGTTACCCACACAAGAGTGCTGGACACCCACCAAGGGCACTGCCAGATAGTCTGGGAACAGGAATAGTGCAGGGTCTGGGGAACCCACAGCAACTGCAGCACTACCAGCACAGGGGCAGGGTGAAGCCCAGACCTCCCCCGGCACTGCAAGTCTGATGCTCACCAGTGAGCGCCACAGCATGTCCAGCCCAGCCCCTAGGGCAAGTGTGCCAAGCTCAGCTCTGCTGGAACTCATGGCTCCTGTGGCTTGCAGCAGGCGCCTTCTGGCACAGCTCTCTGGCCAGAGGAGAAGGAAGCCCAGCCATGTCCAGGGCTGTGGCAGGTCACAGCGAGGCTGGTTCTGGTAAGGTCATGGGCTGTTTCCCAGCACAGTCTGAATTTGCACCAGCTTAGAACAGGGCAGCATCCCCAACCCAGGCTGAGTGGGACTGAGTGCCCTCTCAGGGAGGGTTCTTCACTTGCTCCTCGTCCGAGGGATGCAACCAAGCCTATGTAACAGAGGGGAGGAGGGACATCCCACTCGTCCACCACCTGCACACTGTCCTCTCTGCAATGCATTGTCAATCCATCAGCTCTGAGGCTATCTCCCAGCCTAGCCTGATGCAGGACGCACCTTTCACTCGCAGGTAGTGTCCCCCAAAGCGGTAGGCTTCAAAGTGGAGTGACAGAGGCGTGTTGGACTGGTCCAGATATATGTCCACCTTGCTCTGCTCGATGCCTTTCCTCTCGAACACTGGCAGCAGCACCTCCCTGTGCACACGGGAGCAGGCAGTAGTGGGATTTCCCTCCTGCCCCCAGATCTGGGCTCCAAGTGAGAAGGGTCCATCAACAGGCTTTGGGCTGGGTGTGCCAGGCTGACTGTACTGAGACAGGCCACAAGGGGGAGAGGGCCCAGACACCCAGCCAGAGGGCTCCAGGCCCCAGGAGCAGAGTGAGAGCTCAGAAGGAAGGGGAGGGCCCGCTATTCTCCCCTTCAACCGCTGCCAAAGCCAAGAGAGGGGTGATTCCTTGCACCAGTATATGGCAGATGCCTATGCAGCAATCTGGTGAGTGTTGCTGACAAACAAAGGACTCTGGTCAAACTGCAGGGTTGAGCCAACCATAGGCCTGTACCCACTGCCTCAGCACAGGGCAGAACTAAACACATGACCAGGTCCAGCTGGTGCACCGCTGAGCAGCCCAGCCCAAGCCCAAAGAGGCCAGGGCACAGGGTGCCATTGAGCCAGGAGCTGGGCTGGAGGTAGGGTTTTGAGGTGGCCACACTGGTGTTTCGACACCCAGGCTCCATGGCTGGGCCCTGTCCAGGATACTCTCTTGATGGTGCCTGCAGCCACAAGCCAAACCCATGCTCCCCACCCACAGGAATAGTCCCAGGCCAAGACTGTTTAGGGGAAAGGCAGCCCCATGCCCAGCAAGCAGCCTTGGCAGACTCACCCCAAGGATTTCTTCTTCATGGCTGGGACAATCTCTGCCTCAATGTCCACATTCAAGTCGAACTTGAGGGTGAAGCACTCTTTGCTGGGGTCCTGAGGCAGGGGCAGGCTGGTCAGCAAGACCCTTTCTCACACCCTGGGGCTCAACATCAGCAGCCCTCACCCTTTGCAGGGTCAGTCCTGTGGCTCCCACCCACCTGGCAGTCCCCTGTAGGTACAGCAACCCCTGGCTCCATGGAGCTCCATGACCCATTCTCAGGCAGAGGCCTGTCTGTACAGCTGGAGTGCAGCTGGCTCTGAGGCTGTTTCAGCTGCAGCTCATGTTCCCTGCACCCTGCAGACTACCACAGCACACAGGCCAGGGTCACCAGGGTGCTTGCTCCACAGCTGTTCCACCTCTCAGGCCTGGCAGCCCCTGCGCCAGCCCAGATCTCCCAGCCCCACACTCCAGGCTGGGCTCCTTACATCCGTGTGTCTCCGCCGGGCTTTCTTCTTGGGGAGCTTCAGTGCCGAGCTCTTCTTGTCTCTACAGGTACAACCGAATGCATGGTTACAGGGAAAACCTGTGCTCTGGGGCTCTGATCCCACACCAGGGGCTTCCCTGGAGGCTAGCCCTCACCACTGTGGCTGAGTCCCTGCCAGGATGGCATTCAGCACACTGCCAGGTCAGGGTCCTCTGGGGTAGCCAGGAACCCTGGGTCCTCATCAAGACTCACTGAGGTACTAGCAGTGGTGCCTCAAGAGTAAGTTGTGCCTTGAGCTGTTCCCCAGGGCTGTGTTCTCTTGTGTTAAATGCCCCAGGCCCAGCCCCCCACTCACTCCAGGCCCAATCTATCTCATTCCCCAGGGAGCAGCAAGGCCCACCACCAGCTGGGCACTCACCCCTTGCCATCCATCAGCCCCTCATCATCTTCCTCCATGTCAGAGGCAGGGCTGGTGCGTGGAGGACATGAACGCGTGGACACGTTCCGGGCCAGAATGGAACCTGCAACCAGGAGAGACATACATGTCACACCATGGGGTCTGCCCTTCCCCATGTGACAGGGGCTGGCTGGAGGGTGGGGCAGTCTCTGTGCTGACAGGGCCCTCACTGTAACCCCTGTGTTGACAAACCTTCCTCTTAAGATATTCCCCTTCCTGTCTGGTGCCTTGCTGGGCAAGACATCCCCTCTGCATAGCCATGCTCCAACACATGAGGCCCTCAGCCCTGGGAATATTCCCCAGGGGAGGCTAGATGGTTGGATGCAGCTGGGAGCAAACTGCCCTGGCCCTGGTGCTGCTTGCCCCCTGCTCTGTCACAGCTATCAGGTACCCTGCCCTGCCCAAGGAGATGATACATGCATGGGGTGGCTAAGCTATTGTCAGCTGGGCCCCCTCCACCAGTTGCACTCTCACCTTGCGGAGGCAGGTCGAAGCGTATGTGTCCATCAAAGTGCATGGTGCTGTGGAACCTGCTGTCACAGGCTTTGCACAGGCTCAGGGGACTGTGGTAGTTCAGCTGCTGGCACTCCGCATGATGGCATACCTGTGAGATACAAGGTGCCCTAACATAGAGCCAAGGCTACCCGTGGCAAAGTGCAGGGAGGCAGCCCCCAGGTCCTGACAGCAGGGGTTCTCTGAGCCCATGTGGCTACCATGCAGCTCCCTCTGCCCTGTAGCCTGCCCACCACCCATGTGCATAGACCCTTCTTGCAGGCCAGGTGAAGCCAGGCTGCCATGCAGGACCAGGCTGCAGCTCAGCTCATTCATGGCTGGAGTCCCATGTTAAGGGAGGGGTGCTCTCTGGTGCAGCCAGGCCTTGTGAGCAGAGGGTCACTGCCCCTTGCACCCAGCCTATCCACGCACACAGAGTCCAACTCAGCCTGCCCCATGCCCCTTGCCCTGCCCATACTCACTGGCTGGTAAGCATGGCTGGGGCCCCCAGACCCCACAGATGGACAGTACCCTGGTCATGAGCACAGCTTGAGGAGGCACTGCTAGGTTCCCAGGCCAGGGCCTTCCTAGGGCCAAGTGCTATTGTATCGCGAGCCCTGGGCACACAGAAGAGGCTGTGGCTGGTTGCTTTGTGTTTCAAATATCAGTGTCCCCGATACAGGGCTGAGGAAGCAAGTGTCTACTGTGAAACAATGCCTGTGAGCCAGGCCGCCTTCCTCCCATTGTGCAGCCTCCCCAGGGCTGCACCTCTCACCAGCCATGGGGCTATTTTTATACACTTGCTGTGCGGGGCATGACCCCTGGCCAGCATGGCTCACCCAGCCTGCGGCAGCCAGGCTGCCCTGGTGCTCTCCCTCCTGTCTGCCTCCTGGTCTCAGTCCCATGCTCCCCACAGTACTCCATGCCTTCAGCCAGGACCCACAGACCATGTGGCCCTGTTTGGCAGCCTTTGTGCCCTGTACCGCCTGTGCTCAGTGCCTGTGTTTCAGGAGGGAGGATGGCCTCAGGAAGAAACAAACGAAGGGCAGCGCATGCAGGAGGTTGTTTTAAGCAGGGGACAGCACACCATGCCCTGCTGGACTGAGGGCCTTGGAAGGACGCCGCTTTGGAAGGCGTGAGGCCACAGGGAATATTCTCAGTACCAGACAGACCCCGTGCAGCCTGAGCTCCATGAAGGGTGGAAGAGGAAGCAGTCCCTCATTTCCAGCCCTTGCCCCCTTTCTGCCCTCCTTCCTTGCCCAGGCCCACTGACATCAGAGCTGAAGCACTCTCCCATGCCAAGCCCCACCAGTATGCCAGCTCTGCCCCATATGTGGGCACTATGGCACTGGTCTTTCTGGGGTCTCCCAGGTGGTGGCAGAACAACACAGTGCCTGGGCACTTCCCTTGGCCATCTGGGCCGGTAGGGTCAAGGGAATAAGCCCTGGCAGGAATGGAGTGCAAGACAAGGCAGGGAGTACTTCCCACCACAAACCTAGGGCAGGGGGCATCGCGATCCCAGCTGGGAGCCCTTTTACCAGGACTGAACCAACAGGAACCAGGCTGAGCTGGCCCAGAGCTGGGAGCTGCCTCCCCTTGGCTGGGCTGCTGCCAGGGAAAAACTGTGCCAGGCCAGGCCACAGAAGCTATGCTGGGCTGGCCCCAGCTGTGAATCACCCAAGGAAGCTCTTCCCCTGGCACAGACTCTACTTCTCAGTCTCCTTCCCTAGTCCCTCCAATGCTTGGGCCCTTCCTGTGGCTCTGAGCAGAGCTGGAGAAGCACCAATCCCCAGCTGCATTCCCTAGGGGATCCTGCCACCAGCCTCCGCTGGCCCATTCCCAAGGGCCCTGAAGCTAGTGAAAAGCAGATTCGTGGTACTGTGTCCTGAGCCCAAGACTATGAGGGGCACGCAGCACTGACCCACCTCCAGCTTAGATAGCCGGAGTGGCTCTGCAGGGAGTTGGACTCTCCCAGTCCCCACAGAGCTCCACCTTCCAGCCTCCACTACTGGCTCTGCCTTCTGGAGGGGATCTGAGCTGCCCTACACAGCCCCAGCCAAGCCAGCCTGGCTGCCCTGCACATGTGCAAGCAGCCCACGTGTGCAGGTCATGCGTGCAGGCCCTGAGCACATTGCAAAGGTTTGTGACTCACTCAATAGTGTTGCAGCTCGGAGCATGCAACCAGGGACCAAGTTCCCTGCCCCAAAGCCAGATGGCCAGCACCACTGGGTACTGGTAATAGCTCTGGTGGCTCAGAGCAAATGAGCAATGCAGCTCCCAAGCTGTGGCTGTGCTTAAAGGTAAAGGCCAGCCCTGAAGCCTGCCAGTGAATGTACAACACCTTCAGGCCTCCAACCATGCCAGCTCCCTGCCACACTCCCAAAGTCCACCTCAGAGCCCACAGGCAGCAACAGGACAGCCGCTGCAAGCACAGTGCCCTCACCCCAGGGCTGTGAATATCAAAACCAGTGACAGGCAATGCAGTGTGAAAATCAGGCAGAACTGGGGCAGAGCCCTAGCTTTGCCCTCACGTGGAGGCAGGGCTGGGCGTAATGCTAAAAGCGCCACCATGTGTTTACATTCCATCCCACCCAGCTCCATGTGCCCTGGGATCCCACAGGTGTGTACTCACGCCAGGAGCACCTGCAGGTCCCACACATCTACCCTGCTCTGGGAGCTGTCCCCAGGACCCTGCTCACACACCCCTGGAGCCAGTCCCCTGGACAAGCACTGCTGCCACCCAGGGTTTAACTGGGAAGGGCAGCACCAAGACAAGTGCCAGCTGGTCCTGACTGCAGCCTGGGACAAAGCCAGAGCTCCCAAATGCTATCACAGGCTCGGCCACCAACACCCTGCGGGGCTGGGGCCAGAATGCTCCAGCGGCAAATGCAAGGGGACAGCACCTGTGATGAGATGCAGCATGGCAAGAAAAGCAAACACAGGCAGTAACGGAAGTCCTCACCAGACACCCCCCACCCCCCGACGAAGCATAGCCCTCCCACAGCACAGTCACCCAGACCTAGGCACAGCTCTGGGACTCCCTTCCCGGGGAGAAGTTTGCTTGGCCCCGCCATGCAACCTCCCCCAGACATGCCCAGGCTCCCTGCCACATCACTACCTGGCTCTTATTCCATAGATTAAATATCTGCCTGCCAGATGTGTGACCAGTGCTGCGCCTGCAGCTGCTGCCAGCACATCACCATTCCTGCTCCCTGGGAAGGACCTTGTGCCCCAATGTGCCCCAGTGTCACCCAGAGCACAGCATGGAGCCTCAGCACTCACCCCCGTAAGCCTGTCTGGCTGGATTCGATATGAAGGCACAGGCAGCTATTCACAGCCGCTGCAATGCAGCCCTATGAATGGGAAGGAGCTGGGGGAAGGGAAGGCCACTGGGGGGAGGGGAAACCAGGCTGCCTCTGCAGGGAACTAGACAAATACGATAGCACACACAGGCGCATGCACACACAGACATACATGAACATGCACACGCAGGAGAAGCGAGGGGCGTTTACTCCACCTAGGCCTGTGAGGGGGAACACGCTCCCTGTGCAATCAGTTGGACTCCCCTGGAACAAGGAAGCAAATGTCCAATCCGCCTGACGCAGGAAACACGGCACAGCAGCTGCAGCTCAGGGGTATATCACTAGCAGCTCGCGGCAACTGTGAAAGCTAATGCCAGCAGCCCATGGCCCAGGCGGCAAGAACAACAAAGAGTCTCCTTTGACAAGGCAGACTCAGGCCCTGGGAAACACAAACCACTAATCCCCCGGCTCCAGACTCACCTCTGCCTATAGCAGCCAGCACTGAAAATGAGGACCTCAGCTCAGCCAGCACCCATGGCAAGACAGGGAAGTGCCCTGCTCTGTAGGGCAGCCTGTCTTGTCCAGCAGCCCAGACTCCCCCAAAGCCCCTGAAGCAAGCTGGGCTGCTTGCATCCTTGGCATAAACCTCACTGACTCATCTTCCTGGGAAGGCTTTGGCTTTGGGTGGAATCTCCCCAGTGACAGGCTGTTGACTAAGCAGGTGGGGCATCGCTGGGGTTTGGAGTGAGTAAGAAGTCAGTGTGCCCTGCATCTGCTCCTCCTTGTTTGTGCAGACAGGCCATAGTGGGGAGGACCCCTCCTGAGCTGGCCTCTGCTCTGGCTCCCCTGCCCCCCCCAAACACAAACACACACACACCTGTCAGCTGGAACTTAAGCCTCCAGGGCTCCTGGAAAGATACATGCCCTCCCAAGTGAGCGGCAGGATCAGTAACCTAACCATGAGCTCAAGTGTCAGGTTTCTGAAGCCCCCATCTGCATACACCACGCTGGTCGGGCCACAGCAGGTACATGCCCTGCCAGTGGCTCTTGCACTGGCCTGCCCTCCAGATTCCTGCAATCAGCAGCACAGGAGCCTGACTTGCCAGCCACCAGGTCACAAGTGGACGCCAAGCGTTTATGCTCTGCACTGTGCACAGGCCCAGCTCACTGCTCCTAACACCAGGGCTTTTATGGCAGGAAGCCAAGGCAGCCCAGCACCCCTGCTCCTGACCTGGGCATAAAGCAGAGCAGGGACTGTGTGCAGTGCTCTCCACGCCACAGAACTGCAGCCAGAGCTGCAGCTGGAGGGACGGGGATCCCGTCACAGCCTGCTGCACATGCACTGCAAAAAGGACCTTCTAGCCCACAATGTGCACCCAGCCTGGTACTCTTGGGCATAGCAGCAGTTGCAGGAAGCTCTTGAGGCAGCACCTCCAATATGAACCATGGGACACTGGGAAAGACAGGAACAAAGCCCATTCCCTCTGCACCCATCACCCAGCTTGCAAAAAGACAATCTGGAGAGCCAGCCTGGACACCATGGTTCCCTTGGCAGAGCTCACGGGGCTGGACAGCAGAGCACAGAAACTAGTGCCACAGGCCCTGGTGTCCAAGGGCCAAGTCCTGCAAGTGAACTGCTGCTGTCCAATAGCCCATGTCACTATACAGCCAGAACCAATGGTGAAATTTCACTGCTGGTCCTCTGCAGCCATGACAGTGAGAAGAGTGATGGGTTAATGTCACGGCAGGTAGGGCTCAAAGGATGCCGCACTGTCATGGTCAAAGTTTCCACAGCACAGACAAGGGGAAG